TCTCTTTCAGATTTATGGGAAAAATAGGGGGAGAAGGTAGATGTTAGAAAAGTGATTTGGCTAAAATTCACCTTGCCAGGCATCCAAATTTGGATATTTCAGGGGAGGTTTGAATGTATGACACAGCAAGACAGCCTAAACTCTACCTCATGTTTCCTTGTGTAGTCAACAATAGATGAGTGTTGTGCATCCCTCAAGAGTGATCCAAGGCACTGGACAGAGTTTCCTGGAGCTGAGAGGGTCAGGACTGATGGTTTCTAGCTGAATATGGACTGCTGAACATTTGATGCTGAATGCTCAGTTTTTCTTGATTTTGCTTATTAGCATGTTGGACTTGTGTTTTCTGGTGTCACCTGCAGGAATTGCCAAAATATGAGCATGTGGCATGGTATGTACATGAAGATGGATATATCTGAAACCTTTGTGTAATTTTCTTTTGAGAGATTCTGGACCTGAGGAAGCTTCAAAGAGATAGTCTTTCTGGGAATTTCTGAATCTTTTCCAAACTAAAAAGGGCAAACTCCTGATGTGGTGCCAACTGTTGTATGTCCATTTGCTTCAGTGGCTGAGCAGTAAGGCTGGAAAGTCTGCCTGGAGGCTGTTACGTTCACTACAACTAATGACAAGCCATGGTTTTAACAACCGTATAAAACATTGCAAAGAGTTTATCCCATCCCCCATATGATATATTGGCCTGAAGAAGTCTTTTGGACTGTCTTTCTAAACCAATTGCTATTCCCAAGAATTAATAAAATCCATATTGAAGTGACAGCTGGTGGACAGAGCTGGCTTTTTCCTGCATCACTTGCCTCTCTAGTGGCCCATGTTCTGGGGTTGATGCACAGTTATCCTTTTATTACAGCTTTTATTGATTTTTTTTTTTAATGTCAATTTCCTTAAGAATCATAATTGCACTGTTCAAAATCTAAGTTTGGTTATATTGGCACTAGCTGTTAACATCATTCTTTTCTTTTGCTCTTTAAGTACTGACCTTCCAAAAGCATTCAGCTAATAAAATAAAACTGCAGACAAGTTGAGAATGTTTTCTCAAAACACTTCACATGGCAACATGCACCTGTTTCTGTGCTATTTTGCCTGTGTCATGTCTTAACAATAAATATGAGCTTTCATTCTTTACCATGGTTTCTTTCATTTTTCCCCTCCCTAATTTTAATGTATATTTCTCAAACTGTCAGAAACTTTATTCTGACCCAGGAGAACAGTGAAAATTGTGTGCCACGAAGGCAGGGATTCAAATAAACTTTAGAGCAGAAATTCTTTCACTTATTTATTTACTCTCTTTTTATGTGGTAAGAAGCAAGAAGAGGCAAAGACCATTCTTTTCAAGAGAGAGAATGTTAACTGTTGTTTTCTAGGAAGTGGGGTTCAATGATTGTCAGTCTAGTGAGTGTTTTCTGTTTTGACACAGAGAAAAGAAAGAGCAAGTCTGCCTTTGTTTTCTCCAACTCTGTAAGCTGGGTCATCCAGGTAATTACAGCTTTACTTAAAAAAGAGAGCATGAGAGAAATTCTCTGCTGCTGCTTGTAAGCACAAAGAAAAGACAGTTGAGGGAATTAAATTGCATGATGATTTTTATAAGGCATCTGAATCATTTTGCATTCCACCTCTAAAGCAGAAAATGATGAGTTTAATATAATATTGTAGGATGTAACTTGTAAGTCTCTCAGAAGGCAGCTATGGCAGCCAGAAATGTTTGAGCCTGGTTATTCATTATTTTCTGCTTAAAAGCTGAAGCAAATGTGACTGAGACTTTGAGCCACATCTAAATTTATTCCCATTCTTACTTGTAGATGCTACTGCTTTAGAAGCCATAACCAGGGTGGGTTCTGCTGTGTAGATACCATCAGATGCCCTTGTGGTTTAGCAGCAGATAGAATTAGTTTATGTTTTAAGTGTGTTCACGTGCACATATGTAAATGCACACATAAATTTATTAACTTCATTTCCAATTAAAATTCTCCCTATCTCCAAGAGAAACAATTTCAGGTCAGCTCTCTGCTGATTTTTTGGAAATTCCCACCAGTAGGTGACATTATATATTTAATAAAATGCTAATTCTGTGATCCTGCCTAAATTACAGGAGATCAGTAATTACGTAAAAACCTTCCAGAAAACCTCAACTGAAATGTGAAACTTTATTCCTGTACTTAAATTTCTGATGTAGCAGTGGGTGAAAGCTTCTACATGTAAAGTACTTATGAATATGCATGTCTCTAAAGAGAGGGAAGAAATACCATAATCGTTTAGGAGAATATTTTCGTTCTTTTGTGAAACACGTTTGCAAACAAATCACCTGCTACTCAGTGGCATGCGTTGGAGAACTTTGAGTTAACATCCAAGTGACTGGGCTGTTATTGTCCATTTTAAGGTCAGAATATTTTTGTGTCTGTGAATAAAGAGAATTTTTCCATTAGGAACTCATGTGTTATATTAACAATGCACCGAGTTATTCTGTTCTGTAACGGAGAATGCTCAAGATGTTTCCTTTTGATAAAATAATGAATGTGATCAGAAGAAAAGAAATGTGAAACACTGAAATACTGATCTGCTCACATACAGCAGTGTCTGGGAGTAGTACATTTAACTGGCAATTACTCTAGTGGTGTTTAACAACTTACTGAATAGGATGGACAATTGCAAATTGGCACTATATTTAGTGGGCAGGAATATGTGAAATTGAGATTTTATATGTTCCGTAGCAGGTTAAGGAGCAAGGACCAGCAGGCAAAAAAAAAAAATAAAATAAAGTTTATATAGATATTGTTGGCTGACATAGAAAATTACTTTTGAAATATGTTGGGAATGATTGGGTAAATGGTTTTAATGACTTACCTAGGTGATGAGTTCTCTCTTAAATGTCATGGTTTGCTTTTCTTCAAAGAATCAATTTATATCTGCAAATATTCTGGATGATAAAGAAAGACTTTCAAAGAAACTTCAGCACCCTAAGAGACTGTCTAAAATTCTCAAGGACAATTTTATCAGCAAATTTTTAGCAAGAATGCTTGGAAAGTTTAGAAAATAATCTCTAGTATCAGACTGGATGGCTTGGTCAAATGAAAACTAAGTTGAGGCTCAGCTCACACACATTCTACAGGTGAATTTTTTGCTGGTAAATTATTTTACTAAACTGTGCTTCTGTGTGCTTGTTTGTAGACTCTTTGGAAATAACTTGAGAACTTCTGAGAAGTACATGTATAGTACAACACCTCAGCACGGATCATACAGTATAAGCCGTTCCCTTCAGTTTTGTTTAACTCACAAATTATGCTAGTCTATTGTTGTATGTCTTGCTATGTTTCTCAATTACTTTATATCAGTAAATACGTTGCTATAAAGAACTTTATGTAGTTCTAAAATAAACATACCTTAGGTCACTGACTTCTGTGTGAAGGACATTCATGCTTTAGAAATATCCATTGCAACTAGGTTATCTCCTCACTTCAATATCAAATCACTGTTTTAAGACTTTACAATGTGTTATGTTTTATGGTGATAAAGAGGTGTACATCTATCTCAACAAATTCTGTTTCTGATGAGAAATTATTTTATGGAAAAAAGTATTATTCGATCTTGGTTTTAATTTGTGTGTGCTTGGAGAGGAAGGAAAATCATATGTGATGTTTTATCTTGTTGATGCTAAGCTTTCTCTAAATAGCAGATGCATACTTTATTGCACTGTTGGTCCTCTATAGCACAGCAAAATGTTTTTGCAGTAGCAGACAATTTATTGTTTTAGAGTCAAATACAATCAAATGTTCCTTTTCCTGTGAAGCATGGTCAGATATTGATATTACATTAGCTAGCATCTTAACATAGGAGAGGCTTAATAAGATACAGTATTACTCTCTCTAGGCTGTTTAATTAAACTGAACATTCACTGTGTATTGTACATTGCTTTTCTGCCAAGGGAAAGTAAATCTGTATCATATTAGTATCACATACCAAATGATGTTCTCCCCCTGTTAGAGACTCTCTAGAAGAGCTGATGCTGCTCTCATACAAACTGCTTTTTTAATACATTAGACTGCCTTATTGCTCAGTATTCTCCAGTAGCCTGAGCAAGCTTTGGGTGCAGACCAGGTACAGCTGGGGAGTTGCATATTGCATTTTACTGGCAAGGGGTATATTATTTGCCACTGAGAGGTACAGGGCTGTCTAGTTAAATATCATAATCCCCTGTCCTTTTAACAGAGCTCTGCTCCTCCGTCCCACCCAGTAGATTGGGATCTACTTTCTGGTGGCAGTTCTTACTGGCCAGGGTGGCCAGGTAGTGAGGTAGGTTTGTTGTTTTCTGGTCACAGAGCACAGGCTGTTCAGGACCAGAAGTTGCAAGTGTTCGGGAAACAGAATCACATGGAAGCTACAAGGATAGAGGTATTCAAGGCACTTGCTTTGGGGATTTTTTTCCTGTTGGATTACTACAAAGCAGAGTAAGACAAATTTCCAGGCGGATTAGGTAGAATTAGAAATTTGTGGTATTTTTCTTTATAAACTGAAATAAACTGCATTGGAAATACTGAAGAAAGTCTTATTTACACAGTTTTGAGCCTGTCTTTGCTGGCCGAAAGGGTACATCTGCATATTGTAATGCAGAGCCATTCAGAGATGCCTGAACAGTCATGCTCTGGAACTGGAAGGTACATGCTTTTATCAACGGCATGGAGCCCTGTGGCAAAGAGGACAACAACGCCTTGGCTCCTATCTGCACAGTGTTCTGTGCTGCGTAAATGTTCCAACCTGCTGAGAACAGCTAGAGGAATGTTTGTCAAGGTCTTGTGCTGCATCTTGCACACAACCCCAAGAAGACATGAATGGCTGGATGCATCAAAACAATGTCTTTGGCGTGGCTCTCTGACACTGACACCATGGGTAGACTCGAGGAGGGCAGTACTGGATTTACAGAAAGCTTTGCCTACATAACACGGTTATGATTTATCTCACACTGTGTTGTTTTATTTTGTTCTTCCCCTCAACAGAAGATTAACCTGGAGTTCTATATTGACATCCATGCCCACTCCACCATGATGAATGGCTTCATGTATGGGAACATCTTTGAAGACGAGGAAAGATTTCAGCGACAGGCTGTTTTACCCAAGCTACTCTGTCAAAATGCTGAAGATTTCTCTTATGTAAGCAATGCTTCTCTTAATTCATTTGTGTGTGTGTCTAATTTATTTTTAATGATAAATCTCTATCTTAATTGAATTATGTGAATTTTATTTTAATACCAATAGAGGTCTACTTAAAATTTTTGTCATGATTAGACACCATCTTTCCTCTTACACTCACCTTTCTCCTAAAGTGATAAATTTTGATCTTGTGTATGGTTATTAGACACATGAACAGAAGCATGTTTTTCATCTTCTTTATTATAACCTTCAGTTGTGATTTATTAATGCACTTAGTTTTTATCAGAATATGTTTTAGCTTTTGATCAACTGGATTGGGTTTATTGTTTTTATATGATACATTGGTAAACTTTTGACTCATATACTTTAAATAATGGTATAACATCAAATGACCCTCCCGTCTGCCTCCAAATGCTTGTTCACCACTCCTGGCCCATGTTACACACCTATGCGGCTGCCAGCTCAGCTGCATCCAAATAGCTCTCCCTTGCTCTATTTCAATCTACACACTCCAGGTTTGCTTCAGTGGACAGTCTTTTAAGTAAGAGTTGTTTGGTGCCCTGGTTTGCTTTGAGTAGGATAAGGAGCGTTTACAAATACATCTCAGCCAAGGCAGTAGGAACTTTCAGACATGAGGCAGTGGATGACATTTGACAGCCATGTAGTGGGAACAAGCACCGTTAAATATCACTTTGGAATCCTGCACTGAGCAGAAAAGAGTGCAAGAACTTACTGTTAGGGTCCTGATCTTATGTCTGTCATGTTTCTAACCCCCTTTGTTACCCACAATACATTATTACCATTCCTGCTACCCCCTTATTGCTTATACTTCATCTTGCTGGCACAGAGAGATAAGCACAGGTCTCCTACAGCTGGGCATGATGTCTGCCTCCTCTGCAATGCCATCCCAACCAGCCTCTGGCAGAAGTGGTAGATGGAGGAGGACAGGAATCCTTCTGTGTTGCATGTGTTTAGCTCTACAGAAACAAAATCTGACACCAGACTAAAAAGCAGACAAGTCTGCACAGCATAATTGGAAAAAAGGCCATTTTCATCATGGCAGGAATGCTAGCCTGAAGCTTTCTCATCAAGAAGCAGTAGAGAAATCTTTCGTCTTGTGTTTGTGCATATTGCACTGTGGAGCTTAAGAATAGAAAGTGGGTGTTGAAATGGAGCTGTGCCACTGTTTTCTTGACAGATCTGTTCCAGCAAAAAGGAAGAGGAACCACAACTCCTGACTCCTCTGTTCCTCTAGTCTATGGTAGTTTGTTTTATGAAAGAGTGGGAGAAAGTTTGGATGGGTTGCTGGCACTTCTGAAGCTAGGCAGAAGATATCTTTATTTCTTCTATTTTCTGTTCCAAGGAGGGAAGTTTCTTATAGACTGAATGTTTCCTTTTTCTGCTCAGGATGTACCCACAATGGCAGCTGGCTGGATATTTCCCGGTGGGGTGCTGTTGCTTCCTCTGTTACCTCATAGGATTGGTACCATTACCTCATAGGATTGGTTAACCATTGTCTGTTTGGGGGGATTCTGGGAACTGCTGCAATTTGAAGTTTTCTGGAGCCAGCAATGGCTTCTCAGAAAACTGTCCAGAGCACAGAAGGCTGAATTGATACTAAACAAAAAGAAAAAGCAGATGCAGCTGTTCCCAGATGTTTGGAGTGTGGGGAAGCTGGGGTAGGGTTTGAGAGCCTGTTTTTGTCAGTGAAGATCTCGGTAATGAAGTTTCTTATCTGCACCTGTTTGTTTTAAAAAAGAAGAGTTGTTAAGGGGGTGCTAAAAGATCATAGCTATGAATACTTCCAGTTTGTAGGAATTTACAAATTTTGTACTCCTGTGTAGGACTTCTCTCTGTTACTGTGGAAGATTGTGTTCCTCTAAGTGCAAGTCTCAGTTGGCAAAGGGAAAATCTTTGAGAAAATGACATAGGAAATAGAAGCCAATAGCTAAATAAACAGAGCAATCTCTCCCTTAGACTCTCAATCTCATTTCTGTAGAAACCAGCAGTCAGGCATACATGTTGGCATCCAGTGCATCATAGTTTGACCCAGGTGCTGCTTGTACTCAGTGCACTGGGCTTTCAACCTACATTCTGATGATCTCTTGAGACCAGAAACTTTTCCCCTGCCCTCCATCCAAGCCATTCTTCTCAGGGCAGTAGAGGGTGTGGAGGTGTTGGAGGAGGAGACAGCCACAAAGTGTCCCGTGTCTGTGAAGCAAGAGGAGTGAATGTTACTGCTGGGTCTGAGTGGGAAAGTTTCTGTTCCCTTGTTTTCAGCTCCAGCCATGTGGGTTATGTGACTCGTTAGAAATATCAGGGGTGAAATTTGTGGCTTGAAAGAGAGGAAAAGAATCCAGAGCTTCCTGCGTTTTCTAAAAGGGGGGAAAGAAAATTGTTGAAGATTAAAAATAGTGTATGTAAATATGCCCTATTGACTGCTTGAAGGGAAGGGGGGAAGTGCATCGTTAACATTACCAGGCTGGTGTTTGAAAGTGTGGGAATGGACCACTGTTGTTACTAATTAATTTTCCAAAGCTTCAGGAGGTCTCATTTACATTGTATGCTGCTGCGGCCATTTGTTGGGATTATAATACTTCAACAGCAGCACTTCAAGTGAAAACTGGCGGCTGCATGAAGTGTTGTCCATAATTGACTAGCTCCATGTCTTCACACAGCACAGAGACAATGTTCCATTATGTTATCCATTGACAGTATCATTGAAAAGATTACTCTCCTTAAAGCATCTGTCAACCTTGATTGATTTACAAGGGACAAAGAACTGAAAAGGTTTGAAGTGCGGGTACAATTTTTGCCACCGTTTAGCATACATAATGGTTCTCCTTTGATGTCAAAAGCTCATCTTCTATTAATAATGCAGAGGGCTTTTGAATGCAGGCTACTTGTATGGAGTTCCACACTAATAACCTACTTGCTGTGAAATGGGATTCACTTTGGAGAAGCAGTCATTTGTCTGGGTTTTACATGTTCGGAATGAATCCCGACTCAAAGGGATTTCTTTCAGTGCTCTGCATGATTGCAGCTGAGCCCGGCACGGGTTAGGGAAAGCAGGCAAATCCTAGCCTACTCCTCCAGCCGAGAATCTGGCAGAAATCACGCAGCCAGATGCAAAGGAGCATGAACAACAAGCCTGGATGATGCGATCAAATGCCTTGTGCCGTTTTGTCTGGCAACCTTCTATTAATATACTTTAGAGTGCATTTCATGCCTGGACTGCTTTCTTCACCTGTCATTTCCAATAGGCCTTTTTATTTAAATGACAGCATCCGAGGGAGGCAGGTGATTAGAGTAGGGGATGTATAGGGGATTTGTGCCTGCACGGTGTTGTAGGACCAAAGGCAAGTCACCCAATGTCTCTGTACCCTGTCTGCTGAGCAGAACACTTAACCTCACAGTATGCTGGAAGGCTGACTGAGGTTCGCAGGTAAAAGTTGTGAAAGGGAACAGAAATTCTTCATTTCTGCGTGGCTTCAGAAATGGAGGCCTGTCTTTGGCTTGGCTGTCAGCACGTGAAGGGGAAAGGGAATAAAAGAAGAACTAGGAAGTTTTGCTCTCAAAATATGTGAGAGATTCTTGGGAAGCTGTCTGGGGGGGTGGGGAGGACAAATGCTTTAAGGAAAACATTTCATGATTTCAAGGTTTAGGAAGGCTATTTTTACACACTGGGAAGTAAATAGAATCAGTATGAAAGCTCTAGCAGTGAGAGCTGACAAGCTCTTTTGAAAGGCTGACTCACTGGGTTTTAGGGAGCAGCTGTTGACACCACGTCTGAGTGCATTACACATCAGCCATGGCTAGGAGTTGGTGCAGTGTTTGGAGGGGTGTTCTTCATTTGACCTTTCTTGTTCTGGAGAGTGGATTAGTCATAACGACCAGACACAAGCACTTGAACATTTCAAGAACCTGCTAGTCTTAGGAGTGGCTAATTTCGACCTTTGTGACAGTATGAGAAGAGACCATCTGTTCTCTCTGGTTCATTTAAAAGAAACAACCACAGCCATTCGTGGGTAGCTTTATCATTTTGTAAGGATTGCTTTTCTTTGCAGTGAGATGAAAAAGACTGGCCTTTTTAAGTACTTGGCTTAATCTCGTGGGGTTTGTTGGTTTATTTTGCTTTGCTTTTGTTTGTTTTGTTGTTGTTGTCATTCCTTTTGGCTCAGAACTGGTGGTATTTGGGATACCTTTGAGTTCTCATTTAATTTTTTTGCTTTCAACCTCCCAGTAGAGCAGCTTCTATGAAATAGTGTCTGTCCTCCTTTGTGTGCTGTGGTTAGCCAAAGACCCTAGTAGAGACTTGGGATCCCATTATGCTGGGCACTGAGTTAACCTTCTGAGGAAGTCCGCAACTCCCAGAGCTTTCAGTCATGCTGGGAAAGAGAAGGAGAGACGGTGGAAAGGGTACTCGCTTGGGGAAATCACAGAATGAAACCCAGGTCTCCCAAGTGCCAATCTAATGCCTTTGTCAGCAGTTCACACAGCCTTCCCCATGGTTTATGCTGTGCTGCATAATCAGTAGTGAAGCTTCTGAGCAAGGACCTGCCTGCTTCACTTTGGGAAAGGCAGATCTTTGAGAGTCATTGTCTTGGCAAGATGAGAAGACTCAAACATGAAATGGCCTGGCCTAGTACTTTCTGTTGTTGATGTTGATTTTTTTTTAATTTTTTTTTTTAAAGTTCATTTAGACTTTTTTAGCCTGGATATCTAAAATTGAAACGATCAATTCAAAGATTTGAATCTATTTGTATTTTCTATTGCTTTCCTGAGTTTCACATGATCTAAGTCTTATTTCCACAGCACAGCCTTGATCTGTCCAAGCTTTCTAATGGAAGCTGTTTCTTCCAGCAAACCTCCTCCTATCTACTGGCTGTTATCACTTACCCTGGCTAGACATCTCCTTCTCAGTCTTTTGATCCCTGTACTAATCCCAGTGTATTTGGGGCCATGTCTGAAACAAGTGCTGGCACAAGTGCCAGAGGGAG